TAAACAAAATAGGTGAGATATACAAAAATCTAAGTACTCCCGTTTATTTATCGTCTTAAGTGAGATCACTTATTCGCGTGCTTTGTTACTTATATTACTAAAATGTACTTGAACACCTCCGCGTAAGAGTACTCTAATTTATGTATTAATTCACAGCAAACTGAAAATATGTGCACAGAGAGAGGAATCTCTATTACCTTTTGTTGAATGAAGTAAAGACAGGATGAGTGGAGAAAGACAGACCTGAGATAATCTGAAACCAGTCTGGAAATCTTCTACACTCAGCATGGAGAACAAGATTCGAATTTTCAGTACTCATGCCAGGTCCGTGCTTCTGTACGGTTCATAAACTTTGTGCTTGCATCATGAAAAGCATTTTCAGTAGGCTACTGCAGACTTTCGCTCCATACTGAATAACAGGAGATGAAAGACTGGAAGGTCTGGATTCCGTGAATGAACTGTGTTTAATACTAAAAAATCTCGGAATTCTACAATCAAAAACGTGCTGGTTGACATTTGAGGCATCAAAGACAGAAATTTGGATGAACACAGACAAGACGGAGATGATTAAGATCTCCAACTATCGACAAGAAAGACTAATCAACACCAGTGGGAGAAATTCAATGGAAGTATCCTCTTCTACTTACCTGACTGAACAGTATCGTCTCAACAACAGTTAGCGTAGGCTACTTAAGATTTCTGCCAATAGCTATCCAAATAGCTGGTTGGAAAAGGAAGGACAGACAGCCAGTTAGATAGGAACTCTGGCAGCAAACTACACAAGAACTAACAGTCTAACAAATATTTCGGAGAAGACTGAGATGGCCATGGAGTGATATCAAACGCTGGAGTCGGAAATGACGAGGTGGATGTAGTAGAATGACGCGGAGGAAATCATTTGGGAAGATAAAAGCTTATGGACAGTCACGGAGCTTTCTAGAAAGGACTTTAGAGAGCAGAATGGAGTGAATAATGTGCAATTGGAGCCCTATGTTCCAGTCGAGACCCAGGGGAATAGTAATAATGCAATATGCATTTTGCGGAAACTCAATAACTGCCATCTAGCATACTGGTTAACTGATGTAATTACAACTTCTAAAGCTGGTTACTTTGCTCTTCGTATTCTTCCTAAGTGTCAAGTTGTTGTGTTTAAAGTTTTTGTCTTAGCGCTTTGCCTTCATGATATTGCAGCCATGACTTGTGATTTCATCCGTCCCTTCAATTTCGCCTTCTTTCTAAAATGGCCGTTTTGAGAAATTTGTCTGTACCTATTTGAAGAAGAATTTTTATTCTCTGTTGTTTGGTTTTACATATCTTCAGTGTTTATCATATTATCTTTCAGATTGAGGCGATGATTCGAACTGAGATCTCATTAGATGAATAGTTTGACTTATACTCATATATTGTCGAGTGTAAATGTTAATTTAACTGCAAGTATGAGTGCCGTGTATCCAGGACATTCATATCAGCCTAAAGTTTCAAACTCATCAACATGGTGTATTAAGATAAGTATCTTTATATTATGACATTTAACCGCATTTTGATGATCTTAGATGTAGTTTTTAATAAGGTCATCATGATATTTAGTGAAGTGACTATCTAAACCTTTGCTATACACCTTGTAACTCTGTGGTGGGATAATGTACTTCCGTGAATCTTCCTCCATTTACGGCATACATTTATTACGAGCTACTGAGTATGTAGTATTTTCAATATATAGAATTACTTTTCTTTTATTCTTTCATTTATCGTTCAATTACTGAAGGCTAGGACAAACACTGCCTGCTAAAACTCTTCAGTTGGTTGTTTTCCCTAATCTCTAAGTGTAGGTAATAATTTTGTGCAACTAGTTTGTACTGATGTATAGAAAGTTCCTGTCTTAAATATTAATTATGCATTAGCTGACATATATTTCTTCACTACATCCTAACTATCTTAAATCATTTGACTGAAAAGTGTTTTAAGAACTGAGAAAACGTTGAAACATTATAACAGAAAACAATAACCTAGATGTCCTCCTTACAAGAAAACTAGGTGGTAGTATAAAGAGAAATTTGCATAGCGAAAGCACATCGGCAGGACAATATATACATATTTTCACAGCTTCATTCCTCTGCAGTATAAAAGGAATTTAATAAGGATCCTCAGTACACAGAGTTATAGCTATATGCCCAGAAGAAGCAATTGAAGATGAATAAAGCACTGTATATGATACCTTGATTGATTGATTGCGTCGGTGGCACAGTGGTTAGGACTCTCGCCGACCATCCACATGGTCCGAGGTTCGAGCCCACGCCGACGCACACCTGATATCTATGGTCGGCCTGCGAAATTTGGGCTACCGATATCCATGCTGAAAATTCCATACTTGTACGAAAAATACAGTGTGGAATCAAGCTGTAAACAAAAATAAAAAAATAAAATAAAAAATAGCTATCCAAACAAATTCATCAGGAAACGTATGACTAAGAAAGTTGAAAAGGATTATTCTCTATCCGTAAATAAGAAGCTTTTATCCATATGACTGAAATTCAAGGCCGATATACCTAGTGAAATAATTACGAAGAAGTTAAGAAAATCATTTCAAAGAACTTTTAATGCTTGCAAACTGTAAGTCTTATTTTCTAAATGACCGGCAGTGATTCACAAACTGAAAGTTGAAGTGCCTAGATTAGCCACTTCTGATTGTATCTACCACTTTAACTGTACTTGTGGAGTGAGTTATACCGGTCGTTGCTCTAGGAACTCGATTTTTGGTACACAGGGACATCTCTCAGTATGGCTAAATAAAGGTGTAGTAAAAGCAATCAAGATTTCGATATTAGATCATCTGCTCCAAACCGGTCACAAAGCCAGTATTGAAGAATCCTTCTCTATCATCTAGCGGGCACCAAACAAATTGCCAAACACACTGAGGTACCGCATGCTCCAAACAGCAGAGGCCATCATGATTTACCTGAAACAACCAGTGCTTTATGTGCAGAAGGAGCAAGCTCAGCCAGCCACTAATGTTGACCTGGCCGGCCTTCAGTAGAGACTAAAAATTCATGAATTTGTAATATCTTTCCTAATTTCTCTGATATTCAGTGTATTATTATGTTGGTGCTATTGAAGTGTAATCCATTGATATTATTATTGATTTGATGTTATTTAAACAACATCAGTGTTGTTGATAACATTAATTCATTCACTATTATGTATGTTCAGTAACGATTCTTTTGAAAATTCTAATGGGCATTTTTAATCAGTTCATATATTTTCTCCTAAAATATGTAGTTATGGAAGGTTCAAATTTGTATATTTGTGTACATCAATTTAATACTTTTTTCTAGACTGGCATACTGACAAATGTTTGAATGATAGGTGTTCACTATCAATTTGACACCCTCATATCCTTTGGTAAATAGCTTTTAGCTACAAAATTGTCTACTCTTGTGTTGACTGCATGTTATTCAATGAATATTTCACAGTTATTTCTAATTCACACCTCATGCATCACGAAAAAGTATCATATCACATGATTATGAGCAGTAATAATTTGTGCTCGAAACGTTGTCATCAGTTAATATTACTGTACAAAACTGTATGATTTATCAAAATGAAATCTTATCCATAATGGAGCTGACAAAATGGCTTACTTAAATCCAGGGAACTGGCTTACAACTTTTTATGCGCGTAAAGTAAATAGTCAGATTTATGTTTGTCAGTAAGTTCTCTTCGTAATTACAGCGTTTTAAGCAAATATTTGACGAAGCAAACAGATTTTGTTTCGACTGATTTTAATGATTATACAGATTCAGGGTACAACGTGAAATAACCAAATATTGACACAATACGTCACTGCCGAACTTAGATGAAGTTGAGTTGCGTCATAGTTCTACACTATCAAAACCAGGGTCATTCTGAAACACTGTGTAAACTAACTACACTGAGTTGAGATAAGGAGAACGGTCTGAATTTTCCACATTAACCTCAAGTGAGGGTTTCCTATGCTTCAAAGACTTGGTGTGCATCTCAAACAGGCTTCAGACTTTCATAAACAGCTGTCTTTGCTGGATACTGAAGATGAGATGACCAGCCGCAAAGGATAAACTAAGAGGAACTCTGGCTGAGAACCAACCAAGAATCCCAAACGTTTAGCAAAAGGGAATGCAGATGCTTTAGACATAAACCTGTGGAGGCTGTTGAGAGACATCCCACTCTTCTTCTAGTGAAACTTCATTGGAAAATGATGAGTTCAGAGTCAGATGGTGGCGTAATAAAATCACTTTAGGAGAAAATAAAGGCTTATGGGTGAGAACATCGTGAAACGACGATGTGATGTTGTGGCCCCAGGTTCCACTCGGAATCCAAGAGGCTTATATTAAAATGGTGGATCCAAACGAAATTCTATGAAGAAAGTTATATCATAGGCGAATAAAGATATATTAACCGAAGTAGGTGAGTACATTGTTGAACGGTATTATTATGAACCACAACTGCAGATGATCGTTGGTGCCGATTTTTTTCTGCTCAAGAGGCTCATACTTAAAACTCAGTCACTCAGAAAATGTCCCTAAGTTACTAAGCCATAAGTCATAATTATAGTCTTAAGACTGATGATACCAGCCTATTGACTAAACTAAATTAGGTGGAATGGGATTCGAACACGAAGCGCATTAGTTGAAAGTTGACTGCTAGAGACAGTGTGTCACTAAAAGTTCATCATTAGAGAATATAACTACTTGGCAGCTGTGAAATGTGGAGACAGAAGACGTCAATCGCTATAACTCATGTCCACTGATGTCAGACATGTTACATATCACGAATTCCTCTAATCTTAACTTTATCAAAGGATATTTTGGAATTTTTAGATAAATTGTATCAACAAAATTAGGAATGGTGGTAATTTTCCAAAAAGCCCATATAAAATAGTCTTTACACTAAAATTAGTCACGACAATGAACATGAACATGATTTCCAGTATAGTTTGATAAAAGACACTTTATTATACAACTTACTTCAGTATCAAACAAAACGTTTGGTTCAATGTTTTCTGGACGTGTTGTTGTTGCCGTTGTTATTATTGTTGCCACTTCAGTCGGTGCTGATGATGCTGAAGATTTGCTCGCTGCAGTTTCTCTAAAATTTTCATCAATATTGTGTCTTACACCTTCTGTATTTCCCCTTCCTTCTCCTTCTTCTAATGAACTCAAAAGATTCAGTTGCGTAGAGATCTCCCTAGCTGTATCAACAACCATTTCAGAGGTATTAAAAATATTGGACCAAATTTCCAATTCTGGTTGAACATCATTGTATATGTTTGTTATGCATGTGGAAGAATCACTTGTCTAAGAATGAATCAACAAAATATTACAAAAGTCAAAACAAGATTTTGAGCGAACAATTGTTTTCGATAACTTCTTCTTCAGGCTCTACAGTTATAAATCCATGAATAATAGAGTACATATAGCCAGTAAAGGCAAATGAAAATAATATCAGAAACTGTATTGGGGTGCATGTGTAAGTTGAGGTGATAGTCCATTAGTTAGCATAGTCAATTAAATGTGTATAGGGTGTTTAGTCAGAAAATGTGATGAAGTGTGTCATTTTTTTAATGACTTAAATAAGAGGAGAATGTCTAAATAGTCTTTTAAGTTTCAGTAACCAAGTGTTTCCAACTGTTGCTAGTACTGTACCAATCACAAATAATAGAAACTGTATAATGAATGCACAGAGTACTCAAAGCTGCACACTTCAGTAAATGACATCAAATTAAACGATGTCAACTGTACACGAATGTCAGATTTGTAATGTACATTAAAGTGGTATTAATTAGTTTGAAATAAATAAATAACTTTAGTTATTCATCTTGTTCCGAAATGAAGTCAGCTGAAAACCAGAAGACACTGAACACTTATTAACACTTACTTTAGAACACTAACAGTACTTCATATCACGAAGTGTAATAACTGTAACCTAGAGAAGACTGGGAAGCATTCAATGGACATTCTATGATTTTGAATTTGGCTCTTTACTGAACTGTAGGTGGCCACTACTGAAAAATCCGAAATTATCCGAAACGTGAAGGAATGAAAAAATGCATCATGTCGTTGAAATCTATCAAGTATTTGCAGATCAATCATTGCTATGCATCCCCAGCAAACGTGAAGTAATTGACCATATTATTATTGTTATTATTATTCTCTTTAGGTCCCAAAAGGAACATAGGGCTTTAACAGTTCACCTCTACCCTGATGGTGATCGGAGCTGGTTGTTGTCGTCGTTGGTTGGTTATCTCCATCGTCTCCGTCTTCTCTATGACTTCCCTTGAATTTCTGTCTTCGCTGTCTGCTTCTTTTGCCAGTTTGTTGGTTTTCGCTTTTAAGTCTTCGAGTTTGCCTGACATCAGACATAAATCATGCACGCGCAAAATCTAGATATCCTAGAGTCTTCTTATCGGTGGTGTGGCATATTCCTGTCTTCTCATTCCCACGCACCGTCTTCTTCATAGTCTAGTCCACGACAATTAGGAATATCATTGGCTATAATAGGCAGGCAGCCCTATCTTACTCCAGCATTCACTTCAAAGTTTTCGCTGAATGTTCCATTGTGGATCAGCTGAAACGTGCCACTATCATGTAGCTAATGAATGAGGTCGATAAATATTTCGGCACTACATGCTGTCGTGTTGAAGTAGTTTCCAAATCACTCTGTGGTCAGCGCTGTCAGAGGCCTTTTAAAAGTTGATGGAAATAGAGAGAGAAGCTTGATTGCCATTCCATGATTTGTTTGATGATTTTGCTTAGAGTTATAATTTGATAGGCACTTGCTCCACTTTTTCTGAATCCAGTTTGTTCCAGGGTGCGGGATTCTGCATCCAGTGCATCTTCTATTCTCTTCAGAATGACGCGACTCAGTGTTTTACTTGGCGTGGACAATAGCACTATTCCACGCCAGCTGCCACAGAGGTGCAAATCTCCCTTCCTTGGTTAGTTTGACAAAGTAACGTTTCTTTCTAACTGTAAGTACTTTCCCTTCTCTCCGAACCTGTTGCAATAATGGCGTCAGCATATCCACTGTGGTCTCTAGCTCCGTTTCCAATGCTTTCAAAATGTAAACCTGAGGGAAAATTCCTTCATGCAAAAATAATAATTTAGCGATATAGAGTGGAAAAACCTCAGTCGGATTGCGCAACAAATTAATTTATGGTTGTATACTCCTCAACAATATCGTTTTGGTGGCAGAGTGGTCGTGCTGCTCTTGTTTTTGGAAGCTTGTACTTACTCAATTTGTTAAAACTATATAGCACGAGGTATTCAGAAGTCACATTGAAGTCAGCTTAAACGATGTAGTACGGCCGCGGGTGAGTAGACTTTGGTCTTCCTCTCGAAATTCTGTAATGTGGTTACGCATTCATAGCCTCTGCCATGTAAGTCTTATTCACTGTCTTCACGTGGCAGGAGCGTTCTTTGTAAAAGAGAAAGGAAGAATGTGGACGTCTGTCGCTTACAACTTGATTGATAACATTCAGTTCTACTTAGGGGAGCTGGAAAATACTGATTCCAAGCTTGTGGTGTACATGGGCTCCAGAATCGGACAGGATTTAATGCTGTATAAATCTGACTTCGTTATCGTAAACCATAGTAAATTAGCCTCTGGCGCTTCTCCCCTGACTTGTGGATGGGAGGGTTGGCCGCTTTAGACAACCACACAGTTTGGGCGTCAGCTCAGTTTTCCAACTCTCTCAGTGTTCATAGTGAACTAAATTTCTGTTTTAATAATAATAATAATAACAAATCTAAGCGCATATCGCATTTAGCTGTACACACCCACTTTAGAAAACAAACAACTTAATGAGACGACCAACTTGATAATAAACTCCCAATAAAAAGTAGGTACGAAAATAAATTTTTTTTCCACTAAGATAAATACTACCTTATTGGTAAGAGTACGAAAATCAAATTATAAACATAAACAAATAAACAGCCAAAAGAGTAGGTTTGAAAATATACAAGATAGCTGAAATATAAGGAATAACCGAGGTCACTTCTAAAACTTCTATGCATACTGATTAAATTTATTATTGTAAACAAACAGGATGGAAGATCACAGAATGAGAACTTATCAGTGGCGATAAAAACAAATTTGAAAAATTTGCACTTTAGTAATTGTTGATTTAGTTAAATCAATTTTGTAAAGATTGGGAATGTCGTAAACACTATGCAATAAATTCTGTCTTCAATCATGCCTTTATAATTATCTATCTACCAACTTATGTATACTCTCATAAAGATAGTTGACACAATAAGTTAAACAAGAAAGGGTTATTTTAACTGTATGAGTAGAAAATTTTTTAGATGTATAATGTACTGGTGTGGATTACGTAATACAAGGTGAAATCTTAACCTTAGATTTTCAAATCTGGATTGATTCCAGTTATTCTCAGGCGGTTTACTACCCTGGCTTTTCTTAATCTAGCAGAACATACTCACAACCATTCATGGTACCTGGATTAAAACTGTCAATGGTGAAAGAGCTTTCCAATGAGTTATTTACTTCACCTGAAAGTTGACCATTTTTGTATGTTACTTTCTCTTTATTGATTGATGAATTTCATTAATGTGTCTGTTGACTGCAGATTCGTCTGAGTACCAGACTACAAAAAATTTCTTGACATTTCTGGTGTTTCCTTTGTCTATAATTTATACATCTTCTCAATCGAATTGGTGTCTATGGTTGTCTACATGCGCTGGAATGAGGGAATGAATGTCATGTCTTTTGGCGATCAGTTTAAGCTTGTGGATACGAAGACGACTACGACTTCCACACTCACAGCCTAAACAACAACATCCACAATTTAAAATTTCCAGAGAAAAGGAATCCAAGAACGAAATTCCACTCCATACGTGTAGGAAAATTAGAAACTCAAGTATAGAGAAGATCGGTTCGTAGAGATCGAATAGTTAGCTACAACGGTTATCATCCAACAGTGCTCAGAAGGCTTTGTATGCAAACAACATTCTAAGCAGTCAAGACACAGCGCAGTAACCCTGAAGTGAGTTGAATAATGCAGAAAAATTCTATAACTGTCTCTCAAAATTCGGATATCCGTGAAACTTCAAAAAAGAGGGTAGGAAATTTTTCAGAAACAACTAATCACCCCCAAGGACTCAGGAGATATTCATTACAGTATAGGTAAAGCAAATGTGATGATAGAAGTGTATTTCAGACTAAAATGATGTTCACATTGAGTAACCAATAGGAGGTGAATAGACCAATAGTAGCTCTACTGTCTGCAGCTCTGAGTGACACGAGTTCAAATATCAAAGAGTACATGAGTTACCCCAAGGTTGTAGATGAACCATGCTGACGACTGCCAACAAGCACAAAAAGTAGGCCCCTAGCTTCTTGCTGATTGTCTCCAGCCATGTAAAACTCTAAATGATGTCAACGTAGTGTGCGTGTAGAATGCATTCCCTTCTATAAGGTGGATCGCGTAATCACATCTCAACAGAAACGAAAACTGTTTTCACTTTGACGGATCTAGTAAATCTAGTAGTATAAATCCGAATAAAATGTCGACGACCTCCCAATGTGTGATACTAATTCCTGTCTCATTGTTTTCAAGTTACGCTTACCTACAAGAAATCACTTTCACTATTCAAATTTCGGTTGTGGTGATTTCAATAAAGATTCTGTCACGAGAACCACTAGATAACTGTAGTTCATCATGTCAAGAGGGAAGCAGATGTTCACCACTGATACTGGTTGGCGTTAGTGCTATATGGACAAAAATTAGTACACACGAGTCACTGGACTCCAGATCAAGCGGGTCAGTGGTAAACACCCTAGACTGATAACCTGAAGGTTATGACTTCAATCTCTGGTGGGATTGTAGATGTGTACTTTTAAAGATTCCCAATATAAGATGAAGGCATTGTTCAATGCAAATTCCCATAGTTCTCTTATTGGTGTCATTTTAAATAGTTAGATGCACAGATATCACCTACGTGCAGCCTCATGTAGCTGCACTTCTCGTTAAGTTGACACGTTTAGAATCACAACATCAATGCGAATATCAGTAGCTAATTTAATACACAGCTTAATTTATTTTCTCCCTAATTCATTATATCTACAAAAGATGATGGGTTAACATTTTCTGACAATTTTTATTTCCGTTTGAACTTAACTGACTTCATTTTTTCTTTCTAATGTAGGATTTCTAGATTTTTTAAAATCTTTTCTCGATACAAACAACAAAAACCTCAACGAGTCTAGTGTCCTCCTTTTAAAGCATATTAATTCCGGTGACTTTTTACATTCAGTTCTGCTGCACACATAAATCCATTAAATCATAATTCAACCTTGTACAGGAAATTCTAGTCAATATAATCAAGCTTGATTAACAGTTGGAGTATTCACTTGATGTCTTCAATATGATCATATTTATGTAGATTCCTTCACTCCTTCAGAATTCCAGATATCTCTGTGGTTTTTATTCATCTGTTCTCTTTCATTGCAAAATCCTTCTGACATCTTTTCGTTCTGAGGTGACTAAAATCAATAATATTTTGAGAGATTTTTTCATAGATTGTTAAGTCTTCTCAATAATGAATATATACAGCTGTCTGTTACTATCTTTCGATAATAGCTTTTAAAAGTCAGTTTGAAGTCTCATCACGGATGGATATCAATCAGAGTGCCATTGAAGACCAAGGGGTACTGGACGGCTGTTTCGTCCTAGTTTTGGACTCCTCAATAACATGCATCCACCGAGGTTCAAACTCAGAACCTTTAGGTTACAAAGCTAGCTGGCAGACAATTTGGACACTGGAACTCGATAACAGCTTATCAAAGTCCTTTTTTTCAAGGAATGCTTAACTTAACAAATGAAAATATCTACCAATGGAGTAAATAGCTAACATCTATGAAAGTAATACCTACTTTCTTATATGTCAGGTCAAGTACTTCCTCATATTTCCTATCAGATAAAAGGTAAAGAGGTCAAGTACATGAACTTCCTCCATTCATTTATAAAGTACTTTCTGTGTTTCTGCCTTTAGTGATTATTTTCTGATCACCTCAAATATTTAAGGCATCCTAAGAATGGTGACCATTTTATCTCCACAAGACTTTCACTATTCAAATGAAAATCAAAATGGGTTTAGATCCTCTGGAAGTTTGATCGTGACTGCCATTCAAAGACTAACGATAATCGGAACAACTCTCTTCTTAAGCAATTTGGAAGCGGGGAGAATAATATTATGTCTTCATGACATGCCATTATACACTTAAAGGTTCGATATTAATTGGAGAAGATTAAGGTGAATAGAAGTAATAACTGTAAAAGGGTTTATTATCAGCAGGTAAAGTAATATCTGACTTTATTGGAAACCAGCATTAGTTAAATGTTGCAGTCAGGTTATACAATTTGGTGGTCTCAGCCAATGATAACACAATTTTTTCTAAATCACGTTTCTACTGAAAATAAATAAGTAGGCAGAAAAATTTAAATGTTTTTTCCCTCACAATTCTTGAAAATATTTTTTTTTGTAAAAATAGGTAGTAATCACCGATATATTTCTGGAAGCAATAAACAGATGGATTGTTCTTTGTTGAAACTGAAGTGCTGAACTGGTTCTATAGAATGGCTGCAGTTTGTAGTCCTTATCGAGAAATAATATAATGATCCTAGAAAAGGACATGCATGAAATTGTTTTAGAGGACTATGACACTATGTGGTGAAAATACTAATGTTCAGTTGGTTCTGTTATCTTGTATGAAAAAACCTAGTGATTCACACCAAGAAATATGCTAGGTCATGTTGCATTTTAGTAACATAACTTCAAAATTTCCTATTCAGTGCCTAGGACACCTTGAAAAATTATAAACACTTTTGGGTTTCTACTGAGGATATAATTCCAAATGGCCTGTTGTTTTTGTTATGCGGCTTTGTACTCCGCATTCCCGACAAGTGGACAGCTAGAGGTGAGGATGGATTCATAATTCAAATACTTTTTAGACATCGGCGGTGAAGGTTCATTTTTTCCTGTGTTCTTAATAAAGTGATAAATGCTTCCATCATTTTTAAAATACAATCATTCCATGAGATCTCAGATCAACACTTGGGAGTTTCATAAGTTACTGTCATTTTCCATATTCACGAATAATCCCTACCCAGACAATAATGGGGACAAAACACATAATTCAGCGAAGAGTCTCTTGCCGGCGAATTCATTTTCTTAGCTGTACAATCGCTGATATATATGAGTTATTGTGTATGCATGTGTACATTAAGTTTATCAAACAAAAATACAATTGGTTATGGTTATTTTAACTAAACAGGTGAAAATTATTAAGTTTTGAGCAGAGTCACGTAATAGAAAAACATTCAAGAAAACTGCGTGTTAATGAAACTAGTGTAGTAACCAGCCACTGATATGCAGAGATAAAGCCAGAGGCTTAACGGGCATAACAGCTATCCCACTCCTCTGAAAAAGGGCCAATGAACACTACAAAAACTTAAGATGTGTTTTTCTTTTATAATTTCTGATGCTAAAAGTGATGACAATATTTTGAATCTGAAAACTTGGTAGTAAGCAAACTAACGTAGTTCCTGATAAGGAATGATTCACTTCTCGAATATGATGGACGAAGTCGATCCTCATTAATACATACCATTTATTAACCAAAAAAGGATTTCGCCTATTTATTGAAGGTTCGGTGATATTTTAACCTTTGTAGAACGAAATAACTTCACATAGTAGGTTACTTTATGCATCAGGTAGAACTATACTCAGTGGTTGAAATATAAAGTTGGTTAATTACGACTTATTCGTCAATAAATCTGTAACTGGATCGTACTCTCAACTATATATCTGAAATTTAGAAATTTTCCTTTTTTCTGAATATGAACAATATAAAATATGAAACAGTAGTGGGGGGGGGTTCAGCCTTATTCAAATTAATGCAAATACAAAAAAATGTATGCTCAACCTACCTGTGCTCTGTCACGATATTCTCTACCCCATATTTTAGTTGGCTTATCACTATTTACTTCTATATCCTCCTTCTCATCATGCATTTCATATGAAATCATTGACTTGCCTTGCATCACATCACTATCATGATGTGTTAGCTGGATACCAGGACCATTAGACAAGCAACTTATATTTTCAAAATTTGGACAACGTTTTAATATGACATTCTGTTCAGCAATAGAAGTTGTAGTGGTGGGACCAATACTGTTGTTATTGAGGCTGTTGTAATCATCTCTCCTGATGAAGGTATCTTGTTGGTCGTAATAGTAACTTGACTTCATATCATTTAACCAGTTTAGATATGCATCATTCATTGAAGCTTGAGTAGTATGAAAGTGTGATGTACTAGGAGTTTGTTCATCTGGAAAATGTATGTTTTCATAATCACTAATTGATGACTGTATAACACTATTTACATATTCGCTTTCATTCAATCCAATACTCTGTGTTATTACCGATTTACTTGAATCCATCAGTCTACCTTTTTCTTCCATAGTTCCACAACTAACAGTAGTACTTGGAGTAGATGTACGCCTGTAAATATCTTCATCGATTTTACGTAAATCTTCAGCATAATCCCATGGTTCTTCTAAACTATATGGAAAAAGTAAATCCAAATTACTTGTTACTACTTCATGATGTTGAAAATGACTTATACTTGATGTGACTGGATTGTAGTGCTCTTCAAAATCGTGGTGAGCACAGTCTCTATCTTTGCAGATGTTTGACGTGGACTTATCATCAATAGAATTGAAATCGTATTGATTTTCTTCTAAATAACTATACTGTGATGATAAATATCTCTTCTGCCTTGAACTTACTGGTGACTGTAGGAATGATAGTTTAGTATCGATAGATGATGGACATGATTGTCTACGGGATTGATTGATAAAATGAGGATATGTATAATTACTGTCCTTTTCATTCATTTGAAGCGTTTCTAAATACTGAGAAAATCCATAATCCATTTCGGTTGTTCGAATGTATTCATCATCATCATCATCATCATCATCATCATCATTGTTCTTTCTACTGGTAAAATCATTATTGTCTTCGATATCCTGAGATTTGTTCTGAGTAATAATTAGACCATAATAATCAGTTGAACCTTTCTCAGGTTGTATACATTCGTCGGACAGCTGTGTTCTGAAAGACTTTGTAACTGATAAAGGATTATTATCATTAGACCACTTATTGTCATCTACTTCAGTATTTACAGGAGAAATTTTCGAATTTTGGGAAAAATAAAAACGTTGCTGCATCAGTTTATCGTTACTTAAAATATTCTCCTCCTCATAGTCCTTGTAAACAGATGGATGAAACTGAAACGAATCCAAATTAGCATAGTTTTTATTGTCTCCAGTACTACTGTATTCATATGTCGACCTATCTTGAGAAAACTCACCATTTTTATTAATGTTTTCTGTTTGACCACAGCCTAAATTGTGCTCCTCAATTCGACAAGTTGCATATTTTGAAGTGAACTCCTCATCTTCATCACATGGTACTTGACAGGGCAGTGAAAAAAAAATAAAACAAACATAAGTTTCTGAAATCGAATGGGTATTTCTTTTAGAAATCAAATATAGTACACAGATTGGAAAAATGAAGTGTAATATCACAGCAGAGACCGTACAAGTATATATTTCATGAAATCAGTTTCTGTCACCTGCTTGTATCATTTGTATATCATATTTGCGTGTATGTTATTGGACAGCAGCAATATAGTAGATACGCCAGGCTGTCATGATCAACTGTTTCTTTACATGAGTAGTGGTGGTGGTTTTTGGCTAGTTAACTTTATGTGATGAATATCTTCTAAATTCCGTCGATTGTTTAACACCTATCTTCACTGCTTCAAAGTTCCAGTAGCACTTGTGTTGGTGTTCTTACGAAGAAGGGTTGCTAGTCCAACACCCAACCTACCCTCTTTAAATCGATTTACTTTCCGGCTAGGCGAGGTTGAAGATAGCATAGACCGGGATTCGAATCTTGACCAGATATGAGTTTAGCACATATTCTACCTCTGAACCATCGATGCACATTTGTCTGACAGTATACATTTAAAAAGTTTCATCATCAGACTACATGGACGTCATTGATTTCTGCAATTCTTCTAAGTACCAAATAAGAGATTTTACCAAAGTGAAGATGATTATTAAGACAGTTAACCGGAAATCCTTTCGTGTAATTCAAGACAATGCGTTAATGAGAAGTACAGATCAACAGATGTACAGCTGAAAGATATTATCTTCTCCTCAGCAACCTAACCCCGACATCTCATGATCAGTAAATAAAGTGTGAAGGTACTTCCTAATATGACAATTTGATACTATGAAAATGATAACATAAAACTTGCAGTTATCAATATACTAAGGCTTAGACGTATTAAGTACATGTGAGATTGTAAGTGAAAAAGACCAAGACATCTAGCGTTCGACAGACATCATCTAAGAAGAATGGGTATGATCTACCTGTAGTTACACAAAAAGTAATAGGAAAATTTCAAGAAACCTACAGAAATTCATATGTATCTTAGTAAAGAAGAAACATTCCACTGAGAAAGAGTTACAGGGGACGTACACTTTTGCATTTATGCTGTTGTAACTAATTTTGAACCATACCATTATGGATTTCCACCATTTCAAAAGTTTTATTCGGAATGTCTGAACTTTACTAGACACATTAAGCCAGTAATCAGTAATTCACAGGCCATTTTCACACCTTAATTTGATCACTGCATAGATGTGTTAGCTCCTACTGCTGACATTTCATCAATGTCTGAGGATTGTTATTATTCCTCTATGTCCCAGTTGGAACACTGGATTACAACAACGCATCTCCATTCCACCCTGTTCTGTGAAGTCCTCTTTAACCGGTCCCACTACATCCCGGAAGCTCTCATCTCCGCAAACGGTCTCCTCCACGTCACCCTCGAACCCACAGTCAGCTCGTCGTCTCCCATTGAGATTCCAACTGGGGGATGGTCTGGAGCAGTGCCATTCAACGTATCTGTGATTCATCACCACTTTCTTCTGCATATATTTTAGGCGAAATTTTCTTGGTTGATTGATGGTTATGTTGAACACATAAGAAGTGACCCAAGTTGCACTAAATCTGGCGATCCCAGCGGCCTAGTGAATTTAGCTTTGGAGTCTGTAACAGAGGATGTTGTATTCGAGTCGCAATGGGCACGTAGCTGCATAAAAGTAATGAGTCTCTAGTAGAAAGATATGCGCATCCTTGATTCTACTGCAAGCCGCCATCAATTAAAGAGGCTCCTTCAGCTATGAGGTCAGCAGATTTTCTCCTCTAATGGGAAAAGTATACGAAATCAAATGGGAAGCATTTCACAGTTTTGCTTCTCTTTGGTAAAATTAAATCCAATAACGATTCTCAGCTATAAATTAAAAACGTTTTTGGAAGAGAAAGTAGTGACCTTAAGTATTCTGATGGTGACAGATTAGAAATAAAATATGCTCCGATGTTAAGCAGGAAGCCACTATAGACTCTGGGATTAAGCCATTATTATTAATTTATAGGCGATACCCTCACTCAGTAGTGATTCACCAACTATAAAGAACCTCCAGAAGAGTGTAAATTTAGGAAAAATATAATACAAATTCAGCACTTCCAGTGCGAACATCAAAAAGTGAAGGATAAAACGCCTAAAGTGATCACTTCACTGTTCTGGGAGAGTGATTTTCTATGCTCCTGAACACTTTTAAGCGATATAACTGAGACTTAAAATGACTCAAATAACACTAGTTAGTTTAATGAGTTTGAATCAGTTAGTGAAAATGTTTGTGTTTTACTAATGTTGAAAATTAAATGAGTGTGAATACTGACATGCAGATTTAACTGAAAGATTCTGTAACAAAATGTCAGAATAGACGAAGAACAACATAGGCGAGAATAAGAGCGACCTGCAACAGGAGATAAATCCAGTGAATTTAACTTCCATTATTGCTAAATATAGTTCAGTGGTCTATAGTATAACTACTTGACAGAAAGTCGATGGGATAAAGCAAACCAAAATTTCTTAATTCATGAAATGAAATTTATTCATGAATTCCTAATATCTTATATCTCAATTGTATGTATTCATTTCACAATGGCATTTGGCTGTTAAATTACAAACTCTACTCAACATTACAGTACTCTCAATATTAGTAGTACATACAGTTAAGACATGCATCGGTAGTTCAGTAGCAGAAAGCTCGCCAGCCATGTACATGATCTAGGATATTATTCCCAGCTGATGCTTTCATAAACCACCTAGTTTGCTAGGCTATAGAGAGTAGATTAAGCTTAAGGCCACCAATCTCATTCCCGTCAAAAACAACACCAATACTACTAAAACTACAAGGCTTGAAATCACACATTCCACTCGGAATGCAAAGGAGTGGAAAAATCTATTAAGATGTAGAGAGGAGCTTAATTCAACCAGTGAGTAGTCAATTTCAAACTCTTAAGTCACCCAACACTATCCAGTATGTTGAAAAAGATGATGCTGCATTTTTCAACCAACTATAAACTTGACATGATTTTGTGTCAGATTCTTAGTCACATTCAAAACTAACGCAAAACTGTTCATAAAAATGAAACTAAACCAGTTGTACAGTAACATCAAAAATCTTTGACAGTCACCAGTACCGAAGACCCCTACTATGACTACTGGTTGTTACACTGAGGAATTTCAAAGGATGAAAAAGTTGGTTCAATTAACAGTAGTCTTCTGTGTACTCCGCTTGTAGATAAACTTAACAAATATAAATCAGTCCACAGTTAGTAAATTTCAATGTCACTGAAATAAGCAATAAAGAATCACTGATCACTAACTTGCTATCAACATCTTCACTGTTGGAACAAAGGCTTATAAAACACATTCTTTACAAAATATCAAGAAACCGAGTGATTCAGCTTAGTCTTTCTCCGCATCATATTTAATTTCCTTATTAGATAAATTTCTTTATATCTCAGGGTTTTAATTTCACTATATTGATGTCACCGTGCTAATGCCTATTCTCTTATTGTTTAACAATGTGTTAGAAAAGACTATGATCAAACAATCAAGATATCTTACCAGTGTGTGTTGATGTTGAAATCTCACCACCATGGAAAACCTCGGAAGGAGTTATTTTAGGGTATCTTTCATAATCACTGGACTTTTCTTCAATAAGAACTGAAGGCGTAAGGATTTTCACTTCATCAAGAACTTCAATTCTCTCAAAACACTCATCCACTTGTAAGTGTTGAACATCAACTGAAGATTCACTAATGTATTCAAGTGGTTCTTTTTGATTATCATATTCATTAATTGTGTTCAAATCATCCCACGTATGTGGTTTACTAGAATCGACACCATCATCCTCATTGTCATCAAAATGTTCACTAATTTGTTTCGTAAAATATAAATGTAGACGATCTTCACGACTTAAAATTTGTTCAGAATGATCCGTATCATAATAACTATGTACATTGGACTGCCAGCTTGTCGAAACCTTACTTTCTCCAGTATTTACAGATTCATTGAGTTTTCTTGGTTGAAATAAACCAGATCTACCATCATCATCACTGACATTTGTAACATTTTTCATACTAATTTGTTCTGAAGCTCTTCTGAAATTATTGATCTGTTTTAATGATGTACTGGCTTGTGATTCGTAAATCTGTACAGTCGCCGCTGGTAAGTCAATCAATTCCCCATCTATTTTTTGATGCTTATCTCTTTCATCTTCTTCTTCATCATTCTGTCCTTCTGGAGCGCTACTATTCACACTGGATTCATCCAAACTAACCTGATCAATTAGGTCTTCATATTGAGAATACGAAGCTGTCCGTGTAATTCCTTGTGTTTTCTATTAAATGATACAAATAAAACAAATAGGTTAAGAAAATAAATAAGGGAATGCATGTTTTATTAAAGTTAAAGCTGATAGAAATGAGTTATAGGTGAATAATTCGTAGTTATCTACTAGGCATATTGGTGAGTAGTAAAACTATGGGTTTGTAACTGTAGGGAACTCCCCGATACAACGGGACAATATTGTAACGGTCTACGGGACAGTGAGAAGCCTTTCATCTTACACTGTACCTTTTCAGCAGGTAGCAGAGTTAAAGAAATCCAAATGTCATATGTCACTTCTATAGATACTCCTTAGGTGTTTCCGGACACCCGTAGGGCTATTTCAAGTAAACATATTTACAAAATCATATTATTAGTGTTATAAAAGAAGTCCTTGTTCGCAGAGTAATAGGACAGATCTGTAGTTAGATACAAGGAAAACCCGCATCAGAAGTGTAATAACACAGAAAGAAGCAGTGGATTGAAAAATAGTAGTAGTAGCGAAATAAACACCATTTTAGATGAAAGAAGGTAACTGAATGAGCTTCGTCAAAATTAGTTAAATGAAGGTCCTGGTTCGAATCCCGGTGGGTGCGTACTGCTGAAGAGTCCCAGACTAGGACGAAACAGCTGTCCAGTACTTCCAGGTTTTCCAATGGTTCTCTAACTAATGTCAGCTCATGATGAAATCCTGAAACCAATCAAATCCCTACAAACCAACACTTGAATACCAATGAGATGCTCACTGGCGACTGGCCCTATTCAGGTAGGTAGTTACCTGGGTTCCAGTGGGAAGTCGCGACCAGTAGGGTGCAGCTGGTCGGGTGTGAGGACAAATACTCGCCGAAGACATTGGCTAGCGGTCGCGATATGTCGTGAATTGGCAGAAGTTAGAATTCAAGGACCATTGGATCGGGTCCCAGTGGCTTAATGGTAAGCGAGCTCGCCTTGTAACTGGAAGGTCCTGGGTTCGAATCCCGGTGGATGCATACTGCTGAAGAGTCCCAAACTATGACGAAACAGTTATCCAGTACTCCCAGGTTTTCCAATGGTTCTCTAACTAATGTCAGCTAATGATGAAATCCTGAAACAAATCAAATCCCTACAAACCAACACTTGAAATGATAAGAATTTATTGTTGTCGTATTCAGTGTGACTAATTTGAAGCTGTTGTTGACAGTCTTCATCTTTTGATCCCCGGATTTCTACAGTTTCAGCCGGGCAACATACACTATCCTAAACACCTCATGGAAACATTCTGGTAGATTTTATCTTACTGTCTTTTTCAGTTCGGAATAGAGCTAAAGTAGGCAGTACTTCAGTGTAATGTTAAACCATTTAAGATTATAAGGAATCATACTGTAACCAGTTTATTTGTCGACTCCGTTAACTAGTGCAAGCTTTGAAAATACCTATAGTAAAAACTGATAAACTACCGGTGTGTTTTGTTTTTAACCCATTGACATAAATTAGGCATTCAGAAAACTCTCATTCTTCTAGTTTATTCAACAGAAAAGGGCATAATGAAAGTTACATTTTGAAAAAATCAACAAGTAGTTTGAAAAATTAGATTTGTGAAATTCAAAAGAACTCTTAAAAATCTCACTCACAGAACTTCTAACATTCAAATATTCTGAAAAAATCAGTTTCTTTAAAAAAAATGCTACCAATTACTCAGTTATGTTTTCGTGAGTTTGTAGCTTTTCTTTGTACTTGAAAATATTTTCATACAGTAAACAGTGAGCAATTTTCAAGTCTTAGTTCGTAGGGATGTGATTGATTTCAAGACTGATCGTGATATGACTTCATTGTAGAGCACTGTTGAAACTTAGAAGACACTGGACAGTTGTTTCGACCCTGTTGAGATTCTTCATAGGTGTGTAACTATGGCTTCACAAGCGATCGAATCAGGGATCTTCAGATTACAAGGTGACCCTGTAGACTATTCAGACAGTGGTATGTTGTTCAATGACCTATGCATTTTGGCTTCTGCTAATTTGCGATGTATAGCTCCACTGGTAGTCAATGTCATCGGCGAGTGTTAGTCCCCAAATCCAACTTGATGGACCCTGCTGACCACTACTTCGCACTAGAATTTGAGGTTTTCCCACCCTGTAGTCAATCACTAAAGATCATTGAAATAATTTTCAAATATTTCTTTGTGGGAATTTGAATGACTCCAAACCGCGACCAGTGGGGTTACCAAGTTCAGTGTGATGAAAAATACTTGTTGACGATACTGACTACCAGTGGAGCTGTGCATCGCGAACTGGTAGAAGTTAGAATTTATAGGTGACTGAGCAGCATACCACTGTCTGAATGGTCTACAAGCTCACCTTGCAATGTGAAGATCCTTGATTCGATCGCTGGTGAAGCCATGAGTGCATACTGATGAAGAATCTTGACAAGGCCGAAACAACTGTCCGGTGTCCACGGCGTTTCAACAGTTTTCTACACTGTAGTCATCTCGTGGTCAAGCTTGAAATAATAAACAGATTTCAACTGACTATTTGACATGTTTCGTGAGCTTCTTTTCAAAAAGTAACTTAAGACTATTCTCTTTTCTGCTTACTCATTTAACGTTACTGCAATAAGTGCACTGGGAACACATTCTTTACTTTATAAACACTCATATCATAAATTTTATGGACACCTTGGAAAATAATTTGAGCGCTAAGTTTGACTGGTTGATTATAAAATTACGTAAAATGATTCCAGAGTACTTAGCAAATCGTTACAAGTTTTCTTCAACGTCACACTTTTTGAGGTGCCGCTTGTACAGCAGACTTACTCGTATCTTAGAAAAGATTAGAGATTTGGTCAAATAATAGTTAAAATAAAGTGGACTACATGAAGACCATTCTTTAGGTGAATATTTGTACACACAAGCTGAATATGACTAATCATCAAACACTCTTATTTTTGTAGCCACAGGTCATTTAAATTTCAAGTAGTCACTGAATGTATGTGTGTATATGTGTGTTGGTTATTGTACGTTAACTCATGCACAATAATGATGGCCAATATTCAAAGGCTAAAAAATGAATGAATCACGTTTTTCTGTATGTTTTTTTCAAGTTTTATCACGAAATGATTTCAGTTTTTGTTTGATTGGAGTTCAAAATATAGTCGACAAGTTTTATTCCTTTTCGTGTTTGATAGAAATAAAAAAAAACTTCTGTCTTGAATTTTAACATTGTAGAAATCAATCTTACGTCTCCTTCTCATTGTTTCCAGTCCTATAGCTAATCTATTCCAAAAAAGTGTATTTCTGCTTCATTTCAATGTGAATGTCTTGTGCAAAGCTTATGTTCACTCACTCTGGCTTCACCCGTTTACCTATATTGTTCATAATGGAGGCCATGCAGTTGTTTTGTTTCATCCTGGGAGTTGTATTCTTAGCCATAACTAAAGCTTTCACCAAAAAATCCGAAGATTTATCATAAACTTTGATAATGTACCCAAGCATTTATTATATCCTTTCTTTATTTCTTGTAACCTCGACAAATTTACTAGTTCACTAGTTTATTGGCTAGTCCTAGGGCAGGAAAAAGAAGGAAATTTGAGTGTGGGGCTAGCAATCTCATCTTAAAAAATCGATTCAATGGCTAGAGAAGATTCACAGCACAGTGAAATATACTAAAAAATAAGCTTGTTATTTACTGGAATCCGACGGACGAAATGAGACAGCTCAGTGAAAGTCTACGGGAAGCCAATCAGTTGATTTATCTTCTTTCAATGAAAGCAAAAATAAGCAGTGGAAACATGGGATATCCGAAACCTGGAAGACTTCTCAAATCCCCAACGAGATGAGGAGGTATGGCATAGAAGTGCTGGGAATCTGTGGGTTCAAATGGAATGGAAAAGGAATACCCAAATCGTTAACTAAAGAGTCAGTAATCTACTCTGGTCGCCAGGATGACAATCACAAACACACCGAGGAGTGGCTGTCATATTGTCACTAACAGCATCCAGACCCCTTATGCAGTGGGAGCGAATCTCTCCTAGGATGATAGCGGAAATATTCAAGTCAAAAGGTAGGAAAGTTAGAATTGTACAGTGTTACAAAGGACGCAGTTCAATTGAAGAAGAAGCAAGAGTTCTACAGGTAACTGTCAATACTGATAGACAAGACCATAAAATGTTAGTACCAAAATCCTATTGAGTTATATAAATGCAGGCGAAACTGGAGGCAGATGACACAAAGAGAGAGCTAACCACTGGTCACTAGGGCCGGCAAAATGAATGAGAACCGATATCTTCTTGCAGGCTTCTGTACCTTCAGTGACTAGGTGTTTGTTGATAGTCAGTACAAATAAACAGATATACACAAGGCGACATGGGTTTCGTCAGGTTTACATACCAAAAGTCAGACAGACCTCATCTCAATCTAAGGAAAGTGGAGACACAGCCTGCTGGACACGAAATAGAAAAAAGGAGAAGGTGTGGTCTCAAGTCGTTATCTAGTACGAGAAGCTTTCAAGGTCAAGCTGAAAGTCTTCATGTAAGCTAGAGAAGGACTATTGTTCGATTTCAACATGCAGAAACTGAGAGATAAGACTGAAAATGAAACGCTCACCACAGATGTCATAGTAAAGTCAATAAAAGGAGCACAATCCTAATTGTAGACACTAATTTTAAATCATTTTTTCTTCAAATAATTGACGAGCGTGTCACGAGGAGCATTTCCAACAGGCTACTGCAGACTTTCATAAACACCTGTCTTTGCTTGGTAATGAAGATCAGGTTGGAAAGGATAAGCAACAAGGAACTCTGGAGGTGTGACGAACCAACGAAGAACCTAGTGTCGAACAAATAAGAGGAAGAAAACGAAGATGGATGGGACATAAGCAACAGGCTCTCGCGCGGAACACTGATTGGGAAGTGATGAGATGGGCATTTAATAATGTTATTTAGACGATTATGTGAATATGAAATAAGAGCTTTATGGAATCATGAAGACTGCTGAAAAGGATGGTACAGAACAGGGTGAAATGCTGATATGCTCCTGAAGCCCTATTTTTCACTTGGAATCTATTAGATGAATAATATTAATAATTTAAGTGTTATATTTTGTCGCTATTTCTTCTTCCCTGAACTGTCTGGACAGTGATAAGATAATCTTCCGACGAAACCCAACTGAGTAAAGATTATTAGACAGATTAATTATTTCAATCATGAACAATTCTGAAAGTCCACTAAATTTTGAAGTTACAGCTGATAATGACCTGCAGATCGATAATAAAAGCTTCATAATGAAACTTCACAGTGCTTTGAACACAGTAATACTAAAAACACCCAATTAAGCTATAAATCCACTCTGTTATTTTAAAATCAGTATATTTCTCATTACATCACAGCACTCTCAAAGTCTAAACATTATTCTTCCCCAGTAAACATTGTTTTTCACACAAATTGATAAAAGCTCTGTCAATTATATTTGAAATCTATGCGTAAGGAGAACGTAGTACCCACCTGTAATATTTTGTGCATCGTTTTCTTTTGTTTATTGTCAGCTTTTGTAAGGCCTTGTAACCAACTACCAGAACTAGCAACAAGTTGACGTTTCTTTTGGCATAATTTACACAACCAGAACTTTTCCTGAAGTAAGATAAATCAAGAAGAAAAGTATTGGTTATTTGTTTCACCCATATGTGATCAACGAAAGTAATCTACTGAACCCAAAATAACTATATCAGAAAAATATTTGAGTACTTCAAATTAAACAGAGAAAGACACTTTACCAAGACATGTAAATAAAAAGTACTAAAAGTAGGCGGTTTTAACTAATCTAGTGGTCGTATAATACTTTGATAACATTAGTTCACCGATTTTAACTCATTTAGTTCTTTAAACCTGTGGATTTCTTCTTCAATATCACGTTTCGGTCGCTATATTCAATGTAGTAGTTTCTCCTTTTCACTACCTCAGTACTAGACCTTCATTCACTTTTAAATCTGTAACAAGACAATTCTGAGCAGACAGTAATTGGCCTGGTGCGCCATAACCTTGAACCGTGTTACGCTAACAGTAGTCTTGGCAGCCAGGTAGTATCGTGACCTAACGTACTTCAGGTATACACCATTGTCGAATCCCGTTATTTCTTGATACTTCATCTGTGATTACGTCTGTAATGATTTGTGTAAATAGACTTTATCATAATTGTTTATAGAAGTGAAATATGGTGCCTTTCAAACTACCGATCTTCAAAGTAATGGTCCCGTGTTTTAAACAGTCTGGTGCTTATATCTTTATCTCGTTAGAAGTGAAATGCGCTCAACTCAACGTTAAAAATGCCATGTGAAGTACCCTACAATAATGTGTCATGTCACCTTAGAATTCCCATTGTATATGTTATCAACATATTTCATCTGATACTTAGAACTAGACGACTGTGCTGGTTGCTAACCCACAAATAAGTCGCATACATAATTTACCCCTACATTAAGTCAGCAGAAAATCAGATGGATTGTTGGCGATTCTTCTGATTTCAGGAGTCATTTATGTTTATTCATTTCTTAATAGGAATATGCGTTTCCATAGGTTTACAGTTATGCCTTGTAAATGAGGTCAACAGTGATGAGACAGGAGTTTAAGGCCTCCTAAATATATTGAATCTATCGAAGCTCTAATATTAGAACTGTGTTTATTCTCCAAACTATGCATCATCATTGTTTCCTATAATCACTAATTTATTAATTACTCTTATTAATTTAATTTTGTTTAATTAGTCTATTTTATTATAGCTAGAAGTTAACTTTATTAATGCTGAGAAATAATGTGTGATTAAATCTCTTTCTTTCATTGAATTTAGTCAACCAATTATTTGTAAATAATTTGCTTTGAAAATACCAGTGATTGATTGTTTCGAAAATGGAAATATCAGCAGACATCGATTGAGAAGTTACTCCGCCATGTCATGTCTACATTAGTGTGTCCACTTGACATCTTTTGAAACTGCCCCATGAAATTTTGTTACCTGTTTTAGCTTTCATATATCTCTATGCATAGATGAATTCGACTGGTTTTATGGAGTATTTCGAATAAGTATGTCTCTTGAAGTCATTTGCCGGATGGGGACCAGCAGTTAACTTCAAGTTACATAAACAGACGCCGTCAAAACACCTGCGCAGGGAGCTGATATGTCAACCTGAAACCAAGCACTTCGGTCCAATCAATCGGCGAGAAAATGAAAATTGAATTAATATATGTGTGAAACTTGGGCGCTGTGATAGTATGTAATTCCATATTAATTTGTTTATTAGATATATCACACAGTGAGTGAAACAGTATTATTTACTGGATGACGTTTCGAACAAAATTTATTGTTCATAATCATATCAATTATATATCCAATAAACAAATTAATGTGGAACTAAATTGAAATAAATAAGTATGCCTCTGTTTACAATAATCTGCTCATTTTCTTCGTTATTCATTCAATTATGTATTGTGACATCACTATATTTTCAAAGCTCTTCATTTCTGTCTTATCAAACTTCACATTAGTTTCCTATACTCTTTAAATGTTTACCGTCACTTCTTACTCGCTTACCTATTTTGTCCAAAAAGACTGGTTCTCTTATAATCTTAATTAGTGAATAAACACTACCAGTTGATTTTCTGGTGTTGACAGACCGGACATTTGCCTGATTTAAAGTGAGAGATAAACTATTTCATATTTCAGGCTTATAAGTTCTCCTTTGCAAGGAATATGTGTAAATTTGGTGATACGGTTTCATAGGCTCAAGAAGGCATAAATCACCAGTATGCCTAGAAGTGGTACCAGTTGTATTTTCAAGTGTTATACTTGATATCCTAATTGGTAGTAAATAGTACTGAGACATAGCACTGCATAATATCACTCCGAATGAATCATTACTTCAATTTACTTACATAATCGTGAGTGCAAATCCACAGTATCTCTACCGCTTTATAAACTCAAGTCATTTACAAGTAGAGATAAAAAATTAATCGACATTGAGAATGGAGGTAGTGCTGACATATCTCCCTAGGAACATCCAACTACTTACAACATGAGACAGAAGTAACTACATGGATACTAATTTGTGATACTTACGCCTTTTAGTAATCAAAAATGGATATGCTGAGAATGTAAAATATTTATTCACTGAAAGTGGAACAGATTTTCAAAACAAAATATGAAAGCCTTAGAAGATATCAGGAAGCAAGCCAATGCATATGTAGTTGCTGAGAGAAACAGTACGGTCTTAAGTTACCGAAAAAGAGTAAAATGAAACTGTAATCATATTCTTCTCACAGATAAACGGACTATATAACAATGATCAATCACTGACTGTCCTCTTATTTATATTCTATACCTAAAAATTTAATTAATGGAATAGCCACTTCACTTAAATGCGAAGAAAAAAAGGCAACTCTTATTCAACAAATGTTCATACTGCTGATAAACTTAAGATCAAACCATACTATCACTCAGTAATAAAAGTTGAACTTAATGGTTGCTTCTTAAGTAATTCCGCGACCTCAGTGTTGTCTCTTATGTATTATTTATTACTGTTTTTACTTGTGTTTATTTATGCTACTTGTTATTTTTAAGAGCTTATTAGAAGAAGCTTCTGTAAGTTCTCATTGAAAGACACTTTTGAGTAAATTGATTGTCTTGATAACGTTGGTATAAACGACAAAACCATGTTTTCCCCAGATATTGAATCTTTGTTTACAAATGCACCTCTTTTACAGACGGTTGACATTTTATGTGATTACATCTCTGACAACAATTTCCTATTACCTATGTCCCTATCTTATTTTAAAGAGTTACTGCTTCTATGTACTAACGATGTTAAGTTTACACTTAAAGGCAAGCATTTTCGCCAGATCGATGGTGTTGCTATGAGAAGCCTCTTAGGTCCTTTGTTAGCTTATATATACATGTCGCATGTTGAGAACCTAGGGGAGAAAGAAATTTGAAAATTTTATTTCTATAAGAGGTATGTGGATGACATAATAGTCATTTGTGATAAATCGACAGACGCCATAGAAATCCTGAACCAGATCAACACAGTATAAAACAGCATATCGCTAACATACGTTAAAAGGAATAATGGTTGCCTGCCATTTTTAGCTGTCCTCATAGCCAGCGAAGAAGATGGGTCGGTTAGTAAAACGATCTATCTACAGAAAGTCCACATGGATGGGACAGTATCTAAATTATCATAGTTTCTGTCCACTACAGTATAAAAAGATGTTGGCTAAGTGTTTGTTCAAACGCATTCACCGTATATGTACTGCCGACATAACTGAAGAAGAAAGACATCTCACTGAAATATTGTTAGATAACTATTACTCGTTGAGATTTATTAGGTGTTACGGTAGTGTCAAACAAGGAGCTCTACCAATTCAATCAGCTTCCAAAAAGGATGTCTATATATCCTTGTTATTCAGGGATGGTCAACAAAGTCCGGTCACTAAACAAAGACCCAAGACGGCAATTAATAGAACTTACTATGCAGCTGAACATATCTTCATAGGGAAAAAGAGAACTATGCTGTCCTGTAAACCCTCACAGTATCTGAACAACAGTGTCACATCCCATTGTGTTTATCGATTTACATTTATGTGTGGACACGTACATAGGGAGGACACATAGGTCTCTGTAGGTTAGGGCTACAGAACATATTCCGAAGTGGCTGCAACGAATCGCCAGATACAATTAATCTCGGAAATAGATGTCTAACATCATCTATAGCGAAGCACATTATAGAGACGAGTCATAAGGTTGATTTCAACAATGCCTTTAAGCTGATATATAAAACAAAGTTGGGCCCCACAATTAAATTCATTGAAGCCTTAGCCATAAAAGACTTAAACCTGTCTTATGCGTCCAAAAGTTATTTTTTATCACCTTAAACCTGCCTTGATAATCCAATTCAGAACCAAGAACCAATTTACTTCGTAATATTTTCAAACCCTTCTTTGCCTTGTTTTTTCTCTTTTTCTCTTTCTTACCCACACCTTTTGCGTCTCCCTACCCATTATCTGTGACCTTGACCTGTACACAATCTGACCTGCATTGTAATTATTCATGTCTTCTTGCCTTCTATAAGAACTGTGACAAGTACGTGTGTGATCAGAATGTCCGAAATGTGTTTCGCCAATACATTACACGTTTCAGATAAACTACATCTTCGTCTTGTGTTGTCGATATTTTTAAGTAGTATGATTATATTGTTTACCATTTCGTTACTCTGCAACTATGGCTATTCATTTCTGTTGGAATTTATCTCACTAACTGCATCAACATTCTATTTATCCAGAGTAACTATTGTCTTATAGTCGAACGGTATTTGCTGTGCATTTTCGCCTGTGTTCCACTCTCTGTCCAAGATTGTTTTTTAAAACTTCTCTATTCCTGTTCTGTATATTCCCGCGTTGCTTATTTCTAACCACGAGTTACCTTCGACACAGCTTTGCTAGGCTTTTTCTTATCGACGTACAGTATACGGTCTGAATAGCTTACCGTTGTGAAGTTCGTATATTTTATTATTATAATTGTGTGTAGTATACTACCGTTTTTCTTTCAACAAGTTCTGTATAATGAATCTTACGCCTGACTCATACGTTTGGTTTAATTAGTATTGACTTCAGTTACAAATTATCATTCCGGATTTCTTGGAGGAAATCGACACTGTACTGTTTCAACTGTTCTCACCTATTCCAATTATTGTTCACCCCCTCCCCCCCCAAAAAAAAGAAAGAATAATACAGAGTTTTATTGCTTTATTCTGATCAGCGGACCATAGGAAATTTCAACAGTCCAGATAGACTGTAAGACATTTGTAGTATTTCATTCTGATACCCAACTGTGAAGAAATCAGAGGTGGGCACATATTGTCTTATAAAGGTTAAGCTACATAACACTTCAAAACTATTAGGCACTATTGAAAGTATCTATTTAATTTATCTTCACATTGAGGAGTGATTTCACATGCACAAGTTTGAAGAAAGTTACCATAAAAATATCCATTTATAATTAATTTCGGCTAGATTCAGCCAACGTATGCCTTTTATTTAATTCAATTTAGATTTTTCCGTCAGGCGATGTGACCGAAATGCTCGGTTTCAGGTTGACATATCGGCTTCTTGTGCAGATGCTTCGACGATGTCTGGTCATGTAACTTGAAGTCGATTGGTTGATGGTGACCAGCAGTGGAATCCAGGATGCGCATTCCTTCTATTTGAGACTCGTCATCCGGATGTACCTGCATTCCCCAGTGAGTGATGGTATTCCCACCGAGGCTTAAACCCAGTGCCCATACATAATCTCAAACGCCACTGGAACACCATTACTCACTTGGGAATGCAGGTACATCCAGATGACGAGTTCCAAATAGGACGGAATGTACATCCTGGTTTCCACTGCTAGTCACCATCATCCAGCTGACTTCAAGTATACTTTTTATAATGTGAAATAAGTTACCAGTAATTAAAACAATAGATCAAATTAATATATATATCTAACTTACCGTGTCTGATTTTCTACCAATCTGTACAACACAATTAGGACAAATTGTATTTTCACAATCATGACACACTCTCCAGTCTGAAGTGGACTGATTCTGTTCATCTTGACCGTCTGAAGGTGGAGTTCGTTCACATAGTGTGCAGTTATATATTTGTTTTACTACATCTTGATTTGACAATGAAACACGACGTTTAACATCCTGTTCCGTACGTTTCAGCTCACATTGAAGCTTTCTATACAAAAAGTAAAATAAACAAAAATTTCTTTAATGTGACATATTAAGAAGTGGGACTAACTGCTACTCCGTTTGCATTTCTCAATTTGAGTGTATACTGATTATTGACTAAATATTATCGAAGAATATATAGTCCTTGTAAGTTACATCAAAGTAGTTTTAGCAGAATAATTGATTATAAAAACTCTCCTGAACAATCTATTTACAATATTACTGTTTATTTGAATATTTCACCTAGTAATTGTGGTGAGAGCAGGCTGCTAGCCAATTGGTAGACATTAATCTACGTCAATGTTTAGGTCACTAATATTGGCCGTGAGAAAATATTAACAAAGCTGGTTCAACAACCAAACACAGCAGACTTAAACGTGGGCAAATATGATTCGATGATAGATGGCTCCACTTTCCGAGAAATCTCGAAAACAACCAAACAGAAGACTGCCTTTTTCTACTTGCATAAGCTTTAATGATGTACAGGAAATATATATATAAATACGTGTTGATTTCCGTAATAAAATGATCTGTTGCCGGCCCCTGTCTTCTGTTGTTACATAATTATTACCCTTTTTTTCTTTTGATCAGCCTATCATCGTTCCAACATTATTGATCTCTGTTTGTGGTCGATAACTATTCTCAATATTTCACTTTATTACTGGGTGATGGTGGACCGTTGGTTATAACGAGTTGTTTTACAATCGCGATTTTGTTCGGATGAATTTAAGGTTTTGTAACGGAGATTATTCGGTCTTGGACTGTCAGTGGGAGACATGTTTCGGGTGTTTTATTCCCGCTGATAGAGTTTCGATGCCGCCTAGTTTGGAATATTCTATTTCATTCGCAGGTATTACTTAAGCCTATTTTTTGGTTAGCTAGTTTAGTTATACAGTATTTATTTTGTGCCTGAGTAAGTCTTGGAGTGAATATCTACCTTAGGGCGTTGTTGAAGTAATTCTGCGACTAAATATATTATTATTATTTAAAAGTACCACAGATTGTGTCACACATAAATGACTTCTTGATACCGTCAAGAAGTTTTTGGGACTCTGAGTCCCTCGAGGACGTCTCATCAGCTGTTAAGAAGAACACATCGATTGGTTTGTGAATTTAGTCGTTACAATATCAATTAACTGCATACTGCAACCCCTTGTATCGAAGTACTTTTATAATAAACTATCATTCAGTAACAGATTTCAGTGAAAGTTCTAGCTATCAATCAAACATGATTGGCCGAATATATTCGATTTCCTACGAGATGCTGAGTTCATGTCATTGTGAAAGTCCACTTCCTCAAATAAATAAATAGTTCTATGAGAATTTAATGGTGTCTAGGGTAATCTATCCTGACAATAACATATAGAATCGTATTGGAGTGCGACTGCACAGAGTGGAAGAAATGCCGAACCATGAACAGAAATCAACTGATATCACATTATTTACATTCACACACTAACAGTAAATTAGTAGCTTTGGACGAATAGGTAGGTCGTCGAAGAGTGGTAAGGAATCTCGCCGACCATCCACAGGGCCCGACGTTCAATCTCAAGCTGATGCGAAGCTAGTAAACAGAGACGGACTAAAGAAAACGGGACAAATAGATAAAGGCTAAAAATTCAAAACACCCATTAAAATTACATTCTGCAATCAAGGTAAAATCAAAAGAAATATAAATAAATCAAAAATATAGGATGCAGGTAGAGAGTGGGTTCATAGATCTCCTTCACTCTCACTGTCACACCCGCCAACAGAAATAACAACCTCCTCCCCAATGAATATCTCTCTCCCTCTATCCTTCTCTCTGTGTCTGTGTGCATGACTCTGGAATCGCAGTTTTCCAGTGAGGGAGATTAGCTGCAACTGAGTGGAGATAGGAGAGTACGAGTGTGTGAGTGAGGATGAGGTGTATGACTGCGATAACATACCCACCGTGAAGAGGTTTAGTATGAGGAGAATGAATATAGTGTATTTGTGAGTGTGAGTGCCTATGTGTGTGTGTGTGTGTGATGTTGTGTTGTGTTGTGTAGTGTTGTGTAGTGTAGTGTGGTGTGACGTTTCGTTGTGGACGGTGATATTTGCAGAGGGTGTTTGAATTGAGATGAATAGCTGGTTGGTGTTGTGTGTTTGTGAAGAGTGATTTGTTGATGTGGTTGTTGCTGTTGATGTTGTGTGTATATTGACGAGGTGAAGGAGATGTTGTCGGTGGTTAGTGAAGTGTGTATGGAGAAGAGTTGGTGCATCTGTGTGAGTGTTTATTTTGTGCGTGCGTGTGTGTTGTTATTGGGCTGTGTGAATGAAGAGAATTGTTGATGCGAGAAAGGCGGTGATTGTTCGTGTGGAGATGCTGCCTAGTTGTCTTTATTGGTTGATAATAGGCCTTTGACAGCCTGGAAAAATTGCATCTGACGACGATATTTCACGCCATCAGTGCGGGGTATTGGGAGTAGTTTTCAACTAGCAATAACCGCGCCTCAGATAAACTTCATTGGCTACGGTACCGCCACTGCGCAAAGTTAACCTGTGAGACATCAGCATGGCCTGCCAGCCATCCCACGTACACCTAATCACCAATCAACCATTTGCACATCAAACACCAGATCACACACAACCACAACACCTCATCACACCATTCACTATCCATACACAAGACATCAACTACCACACACTCATCACCCAACTGACTCAACCACCACTCACACACAAAACTCGAACAGACGGATCAAACTTCACACTTACACACTCATTCACACTACTTACTTATCAATAGTAAATCAAATCAACGACAATTTCTGATGAAGCCTAAACCAACACAACACATCCATACACTCACACAAACACAAAAATTCCTCTCCACTAGGTCTCACACACACACACACACACACACCTTCATGAGAACACCCATACACGTCAGCGAACACAAACACACACGTAACACACAACACATCAAGGTGTCCAGAGACACTCTCCTCCACTAATCAATTCTTCTCAATCATACTGCCTAACTGATGACTGTCGGATCTACTTGACCACGTCATAGTCTCCTTCGTCACACAGTCAGTCTGTCGACAGATCACTCAGTGAGGAAAACTGGTGAGCTGATGACGCGCAACTTCCACAGTGTACACACTTTCTCACTGACTATTCACTCTGAGAGTCTTTCTCTGTGTCTGCACGTTGGTCAGTGTGAAGGTGGGACAACAGACTGACGCTCAGATTTCTCATCAATGCATGAGCGTCGAGGTGGTGTTGTCTCTTCGTGGTGAGAGATGTCATCAGACACAGATGAACAACTTAATGCATGAGGAGTTAATTAGACGTTCACAGTGGCTTCATAGATCTCCTTCACTCTCACTGTCACACCCGCCAACAGAAATAACAACCTCCTCCCCAATGAATATCTCTCTCCCTCTATCCTTCTCTCTGTGTCTGTGTGCATGACTCTGGAATCGCAGTTTTCCAGTGAGGGAGATTAGCTGCAACTGAGTGGAGATAGGAGAGTACGAGTGTGTGAGTGAGGATGAGGTGTATGACTGCGATAACATACTCACCGTGAAGAGGTTTAGTATGAGGAGAATGAATATAGTGTATTTGTGAGTGTGAGTGCCTATGTGTGTGTGTGTGTGATGTTGTGTTGTGTTGTGTAGTGTTGTGTAGTGTAGTGTGGTGTGACGTTTCGTTGTGGACGGTGATATTTGCAGAGGGTGTTTGAATTGAGATGAATAGCTGGTTGGTGTTGTGTGTTTGTGAAGAGTGATTTGTTGATGTGGTTGTTGCTGTTGATGTTGTGTGTATATTGACGAGGTGAAGGAGATGTTGTCGGTGGTTAGTGAAGTGTGTATGGAGAAGAGTTGGTGCATCTGTGTGAGTGTTTATTTTGTGCGTGCGTGTGTGTTGTTATTGGGCTGTGTGAATGAAGAGAATTGTTGATGCGAGAAAGGCGGTGATTGTTCGTGTGGAGATGCTGCCTAGTTGTCTTTATTGGTTGATAATAGGCCTTTGACAGCCTGGAAAAATTGCATCTGACGACGATATTTCACGCCATCAGTGCGGGGTATTGGGAGTAGTTTTCAAATAGCAATAACCGCGCCTCAGATAAACTTCATTGGCTACGGTACCGCCACTGCGCGAAGTTAGCCTGTGAGACATCAGCATGGCCTGCCAGCCATCCCACGTACACCTAATCACCAATCAATCATTTGCACATCAAACACCAGATCACACACAACCACAACACCTCATCACACCATTCACTATCCATACACAAGACATCAACTACCACACACTCATCACCCAACTGACTCAACCACCACTCACACACAAAACTCGAACAGACGGATCAAACTTCACACTTACACACTCATTCACACCACTTACTTATCAATAGTAAATCAAATCAACGACAATTTCTGATGAAGCCTAAACCAACACAACACATCCATACACTCACACAAACACAAAAATTCCTCTCCACTAGGTCTCACACACACACACACACACACACCTTCATGAGAACACCCATACACGTCAGCGAACACAAACACACACGTAACACACAACACATCAAGGTGTCCAGAGACACTCTCCTCCACTAATCAATTCTTCTCAATCATACTGCCTAACTGATGACTGTCGGATCTACTTGACCACGTCATAGTCTCCTTCGTCACACAGTCAGTCTGTCGACAGATCACTCAGTGAGGAAAACTGGTGAGCTGATGACGCGCAACTTCCACAGTGTACACACTTTCTCACTGACTATTCACTCTGAGAGTCTTTCTCTGTGTCTGCACGTTGGTCAGTGTGAAGGTGGGACAACAGACTGACGCTCAGATTTCTCATCAATGCATGAGCGTCGAGGTGGTGTTGTCTCTTCGTGGTGAGAGATGTCATCAGACACAGATGAACAACTTAATGCATGAGGAGTTAATTAGACGTTCACAGTGGCTTCATAGATCTCCTTCACTCTCACTGTCACACCCGCCAACAGAAATAACAACCTCCTCC